TAGATGCAGACAGTGAAACAGCAACCTCAAAGCTGAATGGGGATGAACTGTGTGACCAGGTGGGAGTTTGGCTGTGGCGTAGCTATCACTCAATGAAATTGGCTCCAGGGGTCAGTAAACATGTATTGTTTTAGTCCCATGCAGTTTTCTGTGGAATTGGTTTTTTGCTTTTATAAAAAGCAAGCAGAATCGTAATAGAAAAACAATTACACATGGACCAGAAATGTATTTCTAGCTGCTTGTCCTCTGATCCCTTTGCAGACTTCAGGGAGTCTGTGCGCTCAGTGATTTCTCTAACCTCCCATATGCGCTGTAATTTTTCAGTTAGGGAGAGAGAATGGACTCTGAGAACTCGAACCAGTACCAGGTTCTCGAGATCAGTTTGACTTAGCACTTTCACGTTTTGCACCCCTGGGAGCCAAGAAATGGTGCGTTTTCCTCTCGCATCTCTGGGGTTTGGCAAAGGATGTGTAATCACTCGGAGCATCTTTTAATTGTGGGAAGAGACCAGAAGAATTAGTGGTGTGTTATTTGCACTAAGGGTCTCGCTCATTCTAAAATTAGCTGAAAGGAAGCAATTTGCAGTCCTGGTTGTTGCAGGGGGTAAGGTTGTATGCAACTACAATTTTATTAAAAAGATAACGCTAAAGGTGAATGATGTCCCAGTCTGGATACTGCTTTACACTTTTGATTTCAGAACACGTTAAAGAGAGGAACCTTTTGCTATTTAACAGATGGAGAAGCTGATGAACAAAGGGGTTAAGCAGGGAGTAAAACCCAGGTCTTGAGTGCAATCTAATGTAGTACCATTAGAAACACCATCAGCACTTCTCTGCAGGTGGCTCTCGCTACTTTTCTGTGGTTTTTAAATTGTAGTATTTTCATGACATATTTTACTACAGGGGCCAAAGCACCTTTCAAATAAATGTCAGCTGTTGAAGTGTTCAGCAGTGGGCCTGCTCCGGGGCTGTTTTCCTGACATTTCTCTGCAAGAAGAGTGAAAGCTAGTGTAATGTTAGTAACTTGTAAAGCAGTCATTTTGCTAGGTTTTGTTTTAGCCAACGGTGTTTCTGTGCTAGACAAATTCTATATAGGCTGCATATCTTTGATATTAATGGCCTTGCACTGTCGATACATCATCTGAACTGAAGGACACAAACCAGCATCTTAATATGTGTATTTGGAAGAAATGTATGTGACAAAGACTGCAAATCTGAATTTATTGTGTTGGTCGTTTTTTTTTAAATGGAAAAATCTGGAGAGCACCTTAACTAGTTAACTGTAGTAAGATCTGTTTCTATGAATGTCAGACATAGCTGGTGATTTGGAGACCAGAGGAATGTGAACGCATCGAGGTTTTGTCACGTCTGATTTCAAGAGTCTTGTTAGAAGCCTTTTCCAGAAATTACATCCTCTAGATCTCTCTTTGTGTAAGACTTTAATAATTTCCTTCTCTGCTATTCTGTTTAGCTGTCCAAAATGTTTCCTTCTCTTCCTTGGTGTATCACTAGCATGATCATCCATGACAGTTATAAAATGGCTCAAAATGTTTTGAACTGGAATGAAATGTGTCTAGTATGACACTTGCTGCTTAGCTAGCATTTTCTGGTGACTCCTCTTAAGCAGTGGGGAACTCCCTTTGCGTTGTCCAATCTTAGATTTGCCTCATCAGGATTACCAACTATTTTTCCCCTCACCCTCCTTGAGTGCAAAATGGCTGGACGCTGTGTTGTATCAGCTCTGCTACGTTCGGAGACTTCTCCATGGTAAATATTCTCAGGAGGCAGCAAGCAACAACCAGAAAACATTGCTTGAAAAAACCCCTGTACTTTCCAAGTGATAAGTTTTACTGTGGAGAAGAGAAGTTAAAGTGACGGTCGGTTTCTTGTTCACATTATTTCCTTTCCTTCCCAAGTAGCCCAAACTTCTCCAGGTAGATATATTGAAAATTCTGAGCAGAACAGAAAAGATCCTTTGCATTTCTGAGTTAATCTCCGAGTGGTATGATCTGAGTGCTCTGTAATTTGCTCTAGTGCCTCCCGCTTTCTTCTACCCACACTAGCTTTACCTTTTCTCGCTTTGTCCCATCTCCTTAGCAGTGGCACCTGTCTGCTAAGAAGGAGATAGGGGATGATGTGCGGCCACTTCTGGATGAAGTGAGTGTCCCAGGAACAACAGACCAAGACCCTGAACTTGCACAGGAGGATACAAATGAAACTCCTACAGAGCTTATGGTGGTGGTGAAGGTAAGAGTGTCTTCCTCAGCTATTGCTGTTGAGAAGAGTTGTTCTTGTTTTTAGAGTATTTGAATAACTTTGCTTTGACACATTTTTTTATTTTTTTTTTTAAAAGTGCCTGGTAAAGAAATAATGAGTGGCTGTTGGCATGAGCTCAGAGCTATACATTTTCCTCTTTGATGTTGTTTCTGGTGTAATTGATGATCCACTGGTGCTCCACTGGCACATCAAGGTGTTGTAGAAACAAGACTGTTTCAGCACTTCATAGATCAAACCTGGCCCTTCTTCATTCCTCTACTTCTCCTCACTTCCCGCCCATTCACAATCCTGAGGGCTACTGGGAGTGACTGGGAGCTACTTTAGGGCTACTGTGGATCATGGAGGCCTCTTCCTGAGTTAGGAGGGTGGGTTTGGGAGAGCTGCGTTTTAGGCTGTGCTTTGAGGCATTGTGTCATGCTGGTGTTGCGAGTTTGCTTCTTAAAAAGTGGTTAATGACGAGTCTAACGGGGCCTGCAGCGTGGCATTTTGCAAACCCTCTACTCTGGGTTCAGCGGGGAGTGAGTATCGCTCGGGATTTGTTGAGCCACGGAAGCCATTGCAGAGCTGGAAATGGGAGTGTGCCTACAAGATTTTGGATAACGACAGCTCCTTACACATCTAGAGGTTGATAGTGGCTGAGACAAAACTCTTTCTAGAAGGATGAGGGGGAAAGTTTGTTCTCAGTTAGTCGAGAGCGGAGTTGGAGGAATCAGTGTCTCTGGGGATGTTACCTGAAAGGGATGGAGAGAAAAAAAGCTGGGAAAAGGGAACTTGAGAGAGTGAGAGAAGAGGAAAGCTTCTGGTAGCAAATGCAGGGATAAAGTAGGATGAGATGAGATGGAGGCAGGTGGGTAGATAGCAATAGGGTCTTTGTGAGCTGACTTAAACGCTCTCTTGCAAGTATTAAACTCTCTGAGTTTCGAAGCATAAGAATTTCCTAACTGCATCGGAGAAGTCCTGAGCACGTTTTCTGTCCCTGACTGTGATCTCTGTTACAGTCTTTAGAAGAAGTGACAAGAATTTCTATTGAGGAAGACCGTGGGATGAAAAAATAATCCTGCCTATGGACATGAGGGGGGAAAAAATGTGCCAGTCAGCTAGTTATGAGGACAGACAGGAGGATTTCCTTCCTCCGATTTCCGCTCATCTCTTGGCCTCAGGGTTTTGTGGCACTTGCAGCATCACCAAGTGGTATTCCCTCTTTTTCTGTTTTCAGGGCTCATGTTTTCCTTTTCAATGGTGCTGTTCTTAATTGTGTGAATCAGGAGGAAGAGTAGAGAGTGCCTTACTTCCTGCCCCTCACAGCACTCTGCAGGGTATCCTGTCTCATTTGCCTCTTCTGTAAACTGAACGGCCTTCTCTTTTAATTATTTCCATCCCAGCTTTTTACAATGCTAACAGACATTTTTAGTGTCCACCTTTGCACGCAGTCTGTTCCTGCTTTGCCCTGGAGTGGCAGTGAGACTGCCTATCCCCCGACAAGTATAGTGTGGGTGGCAAGGGGAGATAATAATCGTGTGTTAACCTTGTTCTTGTTCTTGTCCTAACACTCGTGGTTTTTTACTGCTTGTTAGGCAGAGATTTTCAGTGGGCTGGTGGTATCAGGCTGAGTAGTTGGTTAATTGGAGTCCAGTGATGAGTGTTAGTCAAGTTATTCTGTCTTGGCATCCTATCAGCACAGAATTTCTGCTGCCCAGCCACGTAGCTCTCCTTGCTGCCTGAGGAGCGCCTCAGGGTCCCCTTGTGGGGGCCAATTTAAATTGCTTAAATCCACTTGTGTAAAAACAATTGTTCTGGGCTTATCCTCTGAGCAGGCTCTCGCCAAAGGGTGAAGCACCTCTGGATGGTGATTCACCCTTTCTGAAGATGGATACCTTTCTTCTGCTGCCTTGACAATAGAAGAAGCCTAGAGAGCAAGCACCTAATTTTTGAACAGCTGTGGCTGGGCAAGGGTAATTGCTGCATGTCTGTCATTTCACTATTTTTCTCCTCCATAATGAGTTAACAAATACAAACATTGGCTCTAGTCCCTGCCTGTGGTTGAGACATGGGTGATCATTCCTGAAACTTAAGTGTAATTTGTGTTCTTAAGCAAAAATGCAGAGGGACTTCTGACTCGGTTCCCGCTCCCTTGCAGAAACTCCCTCTGTCATTGCCATCATTTGTTCTGCGTGGGGCTGCTGAGAGATGAGCCAGCTGTTAATTCTTTGCTAAGACATGGTGATTTGTATCTTGTAATAATCTGTTGCTCTTTTCAGCTTGCTGTGCAGGAAAAGCTGCCCTTTGGCCAAGATTGTGAGTAACTAGGGGTTTTTTGTTGTTGTTTTCTTATTTTTAAATCATCCAATTGCTGACATTCCAGTTCCTCGCAGACTTTGAGAGATAATAAAGATCAGGGCAGCTAGTGAACCGAGCGTGCACTGATCACACACTCTCCTGAGTTTTTTTTTATATACATTTGCAGACACCTCAGTCTCTTGGAGAGTCCTCAATGCCTGCTGTCTTACTCAAGTCAGTGGAAGACTTTTACACCTCCTTTATCTACTCCAAGCAACCAGCAGAAATGAGCCAAGATGACCCTGATCAGATAGGAAGATTTTCCAACGAGGCCCAACTTCATGAAGCTGTGCATCCCTCGCTTCTACTTACGGCAATACCGTTTATGCTGGACAACTGTAACAGTACGAAGAGATTTGTCAGTAGAAGTTAACACGGCGGAAAGCTGAGTGGTCTATTAGTGTGCTAGGAGTCTTGCAGTCACTGTTGGGTATCCTAGGACTGGTGCTGTTTCTTTGCTGGAACAGACAAAAATGTTGGTGTTTCTGTGGGACGGAGATGCGACAATAATAAAAGGCTGGATGCAATGCATCGCTTTCAACTTTGCGCAGCAAGATGCGTTTCTAAATGTTTAATGGGAACAAATGAATTGAGGATTATTTCTTTTTTTATTTTTGTTGTCTTTTCTAGACTTTCTTCTGCTTTCATGCAGAAGTCTTTTTCTCCAATGCATACGTTAGCCTGTGTTCATTTCATGCTGAGAGCTTCTCAATCTCCAGACCATAAGGGAAAAAAGCATTTTATAAATCTTATAAGGTCCCTATGTGGGTGTTTGTCTTCCATCTTCCCAATGATGAAAGAATTTACAACACCTCTATGACAGTTGCCCGATTTATGAGGTAGATTAAGTGACTTGCCAAAGGCAGTGCCTGTTTGTGCCTCGGAACAGAGCTGTCTGCCATCTGTCTGGAGTGGAGACCCTGTTCTCCAGACAGGAGCTACTCAATTCACATCTGATTTCCCACCTCTGGGGAAACGGGTGAGCAGTGGGAGGAGAGGGAGAGAGGCTCTTGGATTATACCACGTTGGGCTCATCAAATGGGCGTGCGGTAGAAAATCCTCTTGCCACGACCTGGTAAGGTCCAAGCAAAAGGGATTTCAGTCTAAACTGGAACTCTTAGACCGTATCTACATTGGCAACTCTTTCTTTTCTGTGTCCCTTCTTACGCAGATGAAGAGAAAATGAAGAACAAAGACCTTGCCAGGAGTCTTGCAGTTGGCCTGTGCGGTGCCGGTGGGCTGTCTGACCAAGGACCACCTCAGAAACTGTACATCCCTCCTACCATGCTATCTGCGGTGTTGGCACCTGCACGCTTAGCCACTTCCAGTGACTACTTCCAGTGGCTCCCCAGCCTGAGAAGGAAGGTGTGAGAAGAGGAGAGAAGCTGGAGTAGCTGCCAAGGAAGGCTGCCTAGAACAGGAAAGGCCCCTCTGTATGACTGTGCTGTCATTTTCTTCGTTCAGAAATGTTTAATCCCTTGAAAGACTTGGGAGTCTGACATCTTCTCAGACATGCCCAGTACATGTTATAAATGTTACTTTTCCTTTCAGGAAAATAGTTTGGTTTTGTTGTACTGGTGTTGTACTGATTTATTGCTCTTTAATGTAATGGTTCAGGAGAACATCTATGTGTCACGCTGTGTTATATATCCCTTAAGTTTGGGAGAGGGAGAGTGGCTACCTATCCTTCCCTACTTCAGTGCACGAGCAGTTTTGACATTGCATGGGGAGATGGTTTTGGTTTTTAACACCGTGGATGCTCTACACGCTCCTTGCTGTTAGGAGAGCTGGTTGTATCCTAGCTCAGGCCTCAGTCCGTGGAAGTGCTGGTAACTTGCAAAAAGAAACCTCCTTCCCCAAGAAGATGATCTGATCTGTTGGTGAATTAGGATGAATATGAAGCGTCAGGAATCCCATGTTACAGATATCGAATGAGATCTATAAAGAATCCAGTGAGAGAAAGCTTGAAGCTTGACGTTGGCCATAGCTCCTTGCCTGTTGCAGGAAATCTTCTTGGGCTTGAGTTTATTAATGCAGAGAAAGGTTGTGAAAATAGAAGTGCCCTGGTTATGAATACTGGCATTCAGCTGGTTTGCTGGTGCCTAGACTGTTCCTCAGGTCTTAGGGGCTTCAAGGGCTGCTCTGTGCCCACCTGCAAACATGCCAGAGGTGTGCTTCGCTGCAAACCACCAAGAAAAGCTCAAGATAGGGCTTAACGTTAATATTGGAATGGACAAAAGCCCAGCATAAGAAGTTTATTGATTAGACTAGGTGATCTTTAAAGCTCTCTTCCAATCCAAACCATTCTATGATTCTGTGACTGTTTTGTTTTAATTTCAGCATTTAGGGGTGGTTTCGGATGTGAAAGGGGCAAAAAAAAAAAAAAAATGTAGAGAGAGAAAATGTGGGGCTCATTAGAAAACAACCGTGTGGAAAGCTAACGAAGGAGATGGAGGCAGAGAGCTAAGGAGCTATGGCTTGAGCAGACTGTACAACCCGGTGGGGAGGTTCAGAGGTTGCCTGACGTCTCTGGTCCCGTGTTCACGCCAGGGACTTACATCGCATGTGTTTGTCACCTAGTGTGGGGAGCGACTGAAACGGAGCTGGGGTTGCTTGGAGCTGTCTGGGCGATG